GCAGCAAAATAGTAAATGCAATTCGCATAGATTGACAAAATTGCATATCCGGAAGTCTGAAGAACACTTGTTTAACAGGATTACTATACCAGTTACTATACCACAGAGTGCCAGAATGTTGTTCACAATCTCCTGAAGTACGATTTAGGTACTAGGCAAACTGAAGGGTGATCAAACATGGACGTACCAGCTTTCATGCAGAAAAGAGAAAGGCAAGATTATACAAATTAATAACATTTGGTTTTGCCTGAGGAAACTTTCAAACTTCAATTCCAATTTGAACTTCAAATAATATCTTACACTCATTTTGAAGATTGTAAGCCAGGAAGTGTTACACAGTGGTTCCCTTTTACGGGAAAGTTTGGGAAACAATCGTTTGAGTCTTTTGACCAAAAGCTTCGTCAACCCAAGTGACCAGATCACAAGGTTGATCGGTAGTTAAGGCGGAAGAGCACCCAAGGGTGAAGTCGATCTCAGGTGTCGGCAATGGGGTTTTGTTTGTTAAAGTGGGTCAGTATGTCGTTAAGGCCGATGGGAAGCCCACGTGATTTGGGTCCAGCCTAGAAGAACTAGACGTTCTTCTGGTTTGCTTCACGTGAAGATCACTTGTGAGTGTGATTTGCAGTTTGTGTCCATCTGTTTGGACAAGCTGGTGCTACGATAATTGTGTAAAAGAGAGGGTGAACTTTGGTCAGGTGAGGCTTTCTACTCCTTTTTGCCAAAGACACTATGTTCATGGACAACCACATACTGTCACCTCCGCCTGCCTAGGGTGGCTCTTCATACACCCTAGCACTTCGATTCTGTCGACATTGGGATGCTTGGCGATTTTGACCACCTCAGCAATCAGCCGTTGCGGTGTGAATAAAAAAACTGTCTTAAAACTTTCACATTCTTCAGCTCCATTATATGTCCTGTGTCTACACATGACCCGTCATAGCCGAGTCTCTAAATAGCGCATGGTATTCGTCCGCATGCTTTGGCGCTCGCCGATTTTGGTGTGCAGTTCCTTGGCTGTGAGTCAAGTCGTCGAACTTGATTTCATTTCCAGAGTCTCTGGTTCCTTCAGTAAGGTTTTCCGCTTTGAAACGCTGCCATAATTTTGTCTTCGAGTAATCTTGAATGTTTCCGCTTTGCTTGCAAATTCTTGGTTCGAAAGGCAACCACATTTGCAAGTAAGCCACGATGTTTACTCAGTTAATCCTATTCCAAGACCATGAGTTGCCAGTACCATGAGTTGTATTCACAACTGTTGTTTGAAAAGAGCACCATTTTATGTTGGAGAGAGGCTGGCGAAATCCCAGAGGTTTAGAACTATAGCAACTAGGCTGGGAGATCGTACACCATTAGGCTCAGTGATAGAAATGAATAAATTTATCCCCTTGCGTTCGTCTTTTTACAACCAGGATTGTAAATATGTGGCCATCTAAACTGCTACCATGTCTTTTTTTTAAAATATAGCCAGAAAGTAGATGCGTTGTGCACAAGACGAAGTACAATCACGGGAACTTTTGGTAATTTCATCTGTCACGTGATCAACAGTTCTTGACAAGCGATTGATCATTTTATTTTAGGTGATAGACCATAAATGGGTTGACCTCATGATGATTCCCCCATTCTACTCCGCCTACGTACATTTGATCTCCAGTTTTTTTGCTTATCCGTACACGCCACTCACCTTGCCGCAGAGGCCATCCCATCCGACACTTGTCTATTGACATGTATGTCTCTGTGTGATATTCGGGATTGTCGATCCTACGCGTCACTCAAAGTTCCGTGTCGGGGACCTCAACAACGTGAAGCAAGTTGGGAAGAAACGCTTTGAATGTGGCGCTCAATCCCCTTGTCTTTTTATGTGTGGTTTTCGTTTCTTGAGGGGGAATTTTTTGAACCTCAACTTCCGGTTCATTTTCAGAGAATAAGAAATAGTTTTTACTTTAAGATCGCTCTCTGGACATCCATAAATGCTTGTATGAATGCGATAGGATTGCAAGGAATTCAAAAGCCCAAACTTTATGCTGCTGTTTTATTTGGGGTGGGGCGTAGACATAAACGTCATATTGAATATTTGAGAACTTCATATCGCACGTTTTCCAGGCTAGAAGCGGACACACTTTGCCACTCAGACACGATGAAAAAAAACAACTGTCAGGTTATGCCCGGAACTTACTCAGAGCACCCGCTGAAACATTCAAGTGATATATGTTCATCCGTGCATTGGAACATCACGATCAAAGGCCATTCGAAGTGCATAACATAAAACTTGTACCGGACAGACGTGTTCGCTTCCACCATACATAAAATTCATGCGCCTGTTTCATATAACAACCAACATTTACGTTGCGTTTTAGCTACTTAACGGCTATTAAGTAGTAGCACACATTTTACGTTTTACTTTCGGGCGGCACAGGCTACGTTCCTAAACAGCAGTCTTCAGCTGGGGAAATTTAAACTGCAACGATGAATCGGTAAGCTGTCGTCCGCGAGAAATATATTCAGGGGTCTATATTTGTGGATATGGTGAGTACGAGTTACTTAAGTTTATCATCGGAAGTAGAGACTTCAGAGTATGAGGCGTTGCATTCTGCCGATGTTGCTAGCCTGTTCGACACAAAAGTCAACTCATTGACAAATTACTTACTTGGCAAGCCTGTAATTTAAAAATAAACCGGAAACGGTCGGGATAAAAGTTTTTTTTGAAATTCCATATTCGTGCGCTTTGTGTAAGGCAACTATGTTTCGTGACTACTGTAGACAAAATAGTAGCGTAATTACCAAGATTATTAACTCACCCATTTTCGGAACTGTAAGTGTCAGATTTGAGATGCATCCAGAGGGTGAACTGAGGGAGTGTTACGATTCTCTAGGAAGTTTGACTGAAGGCCCTTAACATTTCGTTATAGTGAATGGGTTTCATAATGCAGGGAAAATAGTGGATTTTTGGCAAAAATATGTTCGAAAAACCATGGACAAAGTGGACGACTACGGCTTTTGTTCCCGAGGAGTTGCAGTTTACTAAACTATTACACTTATAGTAAAAATAACAAAAACAGCCCTTCAACTGTAGCAGCCTCCCGATTCTCAGTTGCCATGCAACCCGAAGGAAACTTGAGGGTTGTAATACTGCCAGATCCAGCCTAAACCTAGAGAAGATCTGTCAGGATGCCGGAGTCGAATCGCGGATATTCCGTTCGATGCCTTAACCACTGAGGAATCTCTGGCTCTGCAAGTTGGATATACTCTGAACCCTTCAAATGATCAAATATAGGAGCTATTTTGTGGACGTTTCTTGGCCTTTCGTCTTACGTATGACAGAGCATGCTTCCCCTGTTTTTGACGCGTTGTTATTGTAGATTGGAAATAGTGAAAAGGACCATCTTTCTGTCATTATGGGTTCCCTTTGACGGGCAAACAATACTCGTTATCCTTTGTGGTTCCATTCGTAAATGCCACTCACGGAGTTACTGAAAAAGTAGCTTCTGTCAAACTAGTTCTCTTCAAGATCAGTCGAGGTAAGTAATGCACATGGTTCAAAATATAATCGGCCTGATTTGTGCTGAATACCGCGCGAGTATTGTAAACATCATTGTCCCATTCAGAATTAGTTGGACTATTTTGGAACTGGCAAATGTAGGAAAACTTTACGGACCACTGTAGATAGTTCTAGGCTCGATACTACTCACAAGGTCGCAAAAAACACCTTGCAGCTCACTATCAGTTTCTCTGTTCTCAGATCTAATCAGGCAATCGTTGTGCCCGAATTTGTGTTCGCGTTGCTAACCGACTTTTGCGTGACTCGGTTGCATAACTCGAATCTATCAAGAGAGCCATGTTCGCAAATTCATTGGATTTTCGGTTTGGCTAAGTGCATCAGGCTATCAAGCGGGTAACCAGACTTGGGTTCACGGTATCAAGAAGGCATTGGGGAAATTGTGGTTCACAACAGAAACCAAGCTGATTGGCTATTTTACGATATTTCTCAATTGACTGTGCTGTAAGCCTCAGTTTCAGTTGGCACGATAGCTGAGACTTGGCCGTGGATTTTCCTACAGAACGCTACTCCGACAATCCCCTACCGGTTTTGAGCCTTGCGAGTCAGGTAGCGACAATTTCCGAGTCTCTGTCATACTTACGCTCCACCTGAACCGAAACTGTACCGAATTTGCGAAACATACCCAGTTGCATGCCAACTGCCTTTCCAGCTGGATCTATCATTTGTGGTGTTCTCTGGCTGAGTGTGCCACACTTATCCGCACACTATTCGAAATATTGCAGTACATATTGTTTTTACATACCGCTACCTATAAAATCGGTGGAAACTCTTCGACAGCCCACTACTCCGCCCAAGTGTATCCATGCGGGATTTCCTGGTAGCAGTCAGCATCTTCGACTGACACGCGCTTACCAGTTATACTCCTTAGGTATAATGATCATTGGTCGGGGGATGCATTCGGACCATTTTGGTTTTACGCTGAGTGGAGCAATGCCGAACGTTGCGGTTCGCCTAGCAGTGAGTGCCATGTTGAGTTTGATCGAGGACAGTCATACGCACAAGTGCACAACAGAACAGTGATCCCACCTACACTGGAAAGTTGGGGAATGCACATGACAAAACATCTTTGGATGTTTGGTTCTGCGGATGAAACGAATTGGTTTTGAGTGGGACCTGCTGCCGTGGTCAGTTCCAGTTTGGCAGGCCGTTTGTTCTCTTTGCTCTCTTTGCGCATGCCTCGGACATTCTGCAAACTTTGAAGATTTTGGCTTGGCAGTCAGCTATTTGTAATTTTGCGCACGACCGTGTGTGGTCCAATTCCGAAAAGCACAGCCGGAAATGTCGAACAGATTTGGAGAACATTGAAGAAGTTGGTGACGCTCGGAACCATGACAATCAGTGCTGAAGCGTTGAAGGTGACAAAAAAATCAGTCTGAAACTGCACATTTGTGTCTGGTGGAAGCCTTGACACAGCAACTCACAATTCAACCTCCAAATTTCTCTCTAGATGAAAATTTCGTCAACCAAATCGCCAATAGCATCACAGAATTCCATTATGACCTTGATGCTGGTCGAACCTTCGATTCGTGGTTCAGACGTTACGAAGATATTTTCGCAGTCGAACTGAAGAACAAGAGTGATGCCTAGAAGATGCGCTTGTTGCTCAGATAACTTGGTACGACGGAACGCACACGGTATTCCAACTTTGTCCTGCCTAAAATCTCAGTTTCGACAAAACCATGCTCAACTTTCAACAATTTTCGGTGTTTACTTTTCGCTATCAACATATGAAGCTAACGAAAAAGGAATCCGAAGACTACATCACTTATGCTGGTAGAGTCAAGCTTGAATGTGAACAATTCAAGTTATCTACCATCACCGAAGACCAGTTCCATTGTTTTGTCTTCATATGTGACCTTCAGTCACATTCAGACGGTGATATCAGGCGGAGACTATTGAACGAGATTGAACAACCTGCCGAGATAACGCTGCAGTCCATCACCGATGGGGGTCAAAGCCTTTTGAATCTTAAACACGACACGGCCATTTTGGAGAGACCCTCCTTTCAATATTGCAAAAAAAGACATCGAGACAACCCCCCCGTGGCGGCAAATTCGAACGGAGTAGAGCCTTTGTCGGCATTCTGACAATGCATTTTGCCCGATTAAGTCCTCGTAAAGGGCACAAGTGTTCAGTGTGCAATCTATGTGGGCATAAGTTAATTCAATATGATGACCAGGTCAATGCTCGTCGCAGGTATGTTACAACTAAAGCAAGCGGAAGCACAGTTCGATTGCAGCTCGATACGGCTTCCGATATCACGATTGTTTACCGTCGCGGCTGCCGGGAGACTGGATCACCGAAGTTCAGACCGACAATGAACACCACCAGAAATGCTTCAGGAGGTACGCTTCACCTGCTTGGTGAATTTGATTGTGAGATGGAGATAGCAGGCCACCGTGATCGTCGCCTTGTCTACTTTGCTGTTTGTGAGCCCAGTCTCCTGGACATAGACCGCATCGATCGCTTGCATCTTTCAACACCGCCGATGGAGAACCTCTGTTCATCAACACCATTAGCAGGGAAGCCAACATTCCGGTCCGTAAACCGTATGGTTGTGACGGACCGTGCCGAAACTGTTGGATTTGTCCTCAAAAGAAACTGTCCCGATGGGATCATTGATATTGGAATGGCATATCAACCAGCTACGGCCGACTGACCGCCCTGTCCCAAAAGCGGAGGAACAGTTACTAGACCTCATTTTGTTGCTCGAAACCGTCCATCTTCCAAGGCCAGCACCAACAGCCATTGCTTCACATGTACCGCCAAAGACAGACCCATTGCTGCAAACAAGACGCCGTACCGGTAGCGTGAGAAGATTGGTAGAACCTTTTAAACTTGAACCGCACCGGAAATCTTACGATGAACTACCAAAATGGGGAGGTATTAGGGAGGTCACATTCTTGAAAATATCCCCCGAAAGCCCGAAACTTCTGAGGACCAAAAGCTCCAGAAAAATATCGATAGGCGTCCAGGCCAGTCAATCACTTACTAAATTATGTAAATATTGACGAGTGTTCAGGCACGTCACAGAGGCAAGACATACAGTGATAAGTGTTCAAGCATTTTATAGAAGCACGGTTGATGATGACGGGTGTTCACTAAATGCCGATCAGACAACCTGAATCGATATGAAAGTGCCATTTAAATGGCGCGAGGCCAGTTGTAACTTTTGCACTCGCTTGTTTTCAATAAAGCCGTTGTGTTACTTGTCTTTTTCCGGCACTAAGCTACTGGACCGGGGAACAATATTAGATGTAACACCTTTCCGGGACCAGTTGAGCGGGGCTGACTGCTGGCTGAGTGAGGGTGCTCACTGAATCAGAAAAATACTAACTACTTACGAGTAGTCAAATGATTAACAAACTTAGTTGGTGATGGGTTGGATACAGGATCACCTAAGATTCTTGGTGGGGTCTTTTGTCAGTTATACCGCAACATGTTACCATGGAAACACATGGCCATTTCACCTGTTGGTTTCTGCCTTGACATATTTCTGTCAACAGTGATTGAAATGAAACGGACAAGCACCTACCTATTAAATCAATAGTTGCATCAGGAATTCGATTCAATTAACTTACGGAACAAGTTCACTGAAAGTAAAGTTGGCTGGGGTTTTAGAATCGGGTCCGACGAAATATTCGATATATTTTCCTGCATAGTTTCGGATAACAAAAAACGAATGAGACAGGCTGGAGATACGGCTTTTTTACGGTCCGGGGACAGGCAGATTGGAAGTTCTCCAGAAACGCTTGAATTTGAGTAAATTCACCTTTGCCTCACGTGCTTAGTCAGGTGAGAGACGGTGTAACTTATACAAACGGTCAACAAAAATACCACAGACGCACCTGAACGTTAGTTTACGCAATCTTTGAGTAGAAGAAACTCCCTATATTTCGACTGAAACTGAGTCTGAGGAGATATAGAGAATGAGTGAGCAATGAGGAAACACGTTTTGGTGAAGACATTACCGATGAACTCGTCCACCAAAGTGCGAGGGATAGGCTAATATTCTTCTTATTCTTCATGTGAGAATACGTAGAAAATCCGTAATTATCTTGCTGAACACGGGGAAAAAACTTACTTTGCTCGTCGACTAGAATTTGTGCCGATGGACGGAAACAGGGGTGACCAGGATGACAATAAGTTAGAAAGTACACTGTGGATGAATTACACGTTTGGTCAAAAAATATAACGCTGCCACATTACAGAAAAAAAAGACAAGCTCTACTTACAGAACGTTTGCACTGAAATACAGCATGAATTTATCAGTGAAGTTCACTTTTTGAATCCGCTTTTTTGGTGAGTGATAATCAAAGAAAGCGTCCAACTTCTTGTTCTTGATGGAGCGATCCGCGGAGTCATTTTAAAAGGTCATCAGATAACTTATTTGTTTTTCTTGGTTTGGGGAGATATGAGGGCATCAGTTGAGATTTCTCCCAGAAACTAATCTGTGTTGAAAAGCCGATAGGCATTGTGCAGCTCTCTCCTCCTTATTGGGAATCGTCAGCATTGCGCATCTCACGAAACTCAGAGTTTCGAACCCGTGACCGAGCGGTTTTTCAGCCATGTGATTAGCCCTCACTTAGTCGGGATACAAAGCCACTCATTATTCAGACATGCAATTCACGTCACGTGGTCACATGTTGACTGGCTCCTCGAGTGACTGCTTCTCACATAGAAGTTTCACTCATCTTGTGAAACCCTAACCTTAACCATGTGACCTAGCCTGTCTAATCAACAGTGTGATTAGCTCTTTAACCGCATCTATCGGACAACTTTTGGTGAGATTTGTTTTAAACGGACTGAAGCGCGCAATTCAATTTGGCACGTGACACGAGCAGCTTTATTGCTCCCTCAGCCAAAGACAGTTCCTTACCCCTTGAACCCACTGATTGCTTCCTGCGCCTTTATCTTGGTATACGGCCAGTTTACACCGACTGCCTGCCCGTATCTGTACGTTTGTGCATCATTTGGCACTTACCTGCTATTGCTTCCAGGACGCCCTCTCGCTTCACTGACCATTCTTCTGTTTCTATCGATTGCGCTGTTATTGATTGTAGGTTTTGCCTAATTCGCGATGTTTACCAACACGTTTGTCCATAGAACTAGTTCTTAGCAGTTCTCAATAGATCATCTACTTCCCTCGTCCGTCTGTTCCCGTCGCTTACTGGCTACGAACTGCCGCAAACGTCCTCAGCTGCCCGGACCCTACAGATGGATCCCTGGAGATACGTTTTCTTGCTTTTTAAAGCTGTAGATTTACGGCGCCTACACGGCACTGACTAATTTGGCTGATTTGAAAATATGGCAGATAATGGGCGGTAACTCTTTCAAAAACCCATGTAACTTACACATTGTGATCCCTAAAACACAGGTGATCACATGAAAAGGTAGGTTTTTTAGTTGAAAGCTTGTGGAATAGGAAACGCGGCAACTAGTACTGTGAACAGTCCAGAAAAATCTCGTAGTAGTCTCACGTCGGGTTGGGAGAATCTCAAGTGTGTTGCACAGTCCAACAGAACCAAAATTTTTGGCATAAAACGTTCGTAAGGTTGCTGAAAACTCCTCAACAGAGCTCACTACAGGGCCGGTACTTTTTGGGGATCATCTGGTAGGTGTTGATCCCAAGATTCTGCTCAAATGGAACAAGTTTGATGAAAACCCGAAGGCTGCGCCAGTTTAATGTGCCACCAGACGGACAAATCCAGTGGTGGGCTGTCGAGGATTTTTCAGCGACCTTATGAGTAGCGTGTTTCATCAAGAAAATATACCGCGATTTCTCGAATATCGTATCAACTGAAAAAGGGGCTAATACATTCAACTGAAGAGTATTCTAAACTAGAAAGCCACGGACCATATGGCGTGTAAGTTCGCCCGTTAACCACTACTAACCTTTCTCGAGCTCATGAGTTATAGTATCTGATGCAACCAGTTTACGAAAAATTGCTAGGATTACTGGCTTACTTTTATTTTCATCTGTAGAGTAGAAGCAATTATTTGTGTTATTCAATACGGATGCCACCAGTTTTCCAATAAGTGAGAGAAGATTTCACAATGCAAACAAATCCTCCGGGGCTTTGGATAACCATCAGAAAACTTAGTGCCGTTGTTTCAGGTGCGATATTCTTCAAGGGGTAAGACATACAACGGTCACTAAGAATGTAAGTAAGTTAGCGAGTAGGTAAGTAAAGAATTAAATAAGAGAGCAAGTAATCAAATGAGTGCGAAAGTAAGTCACTGGGTAAGTAGGTAAGTGAATATTCGTAAGATGGCGACACCAAAGAGAATGGTTCCAGGGGTGTGTGTAAACTATGTTCTAAGTTCTTATTTATTACATTTGGCAAGCTACCTCTCAAGGAGACAGCATCCCGCCCACTCAGGTTTGCAGCCATTTTTGTGCACACATCGTTCTATGCTCAAATCAGGCGCTCAGTTCGTCCTCTATAAATTTGAAATCCATTGATTTAAAAGCAAGTATTGCTAATGTTGCCATCAAATCAATGCAATAACGCGCCATGAAGTAAAGATTTCACTACGTATTTATTGGCGACGGGGATTAGGCATTCTGTGGTGCTAAAACCAGT